CAGTTTCGTCTGCAACTCGATCTGAAAATCCATCTTCCGTTCCTGGTTTTGCGTGACAACGTCGCGCAGCTACTTATGCAATAAGAAATAGACGGATGTATGGGTTTTGAATTGGGTTTGGAATGTCAATAATGATAAATGTCGACCCCCAAACCCAAATTAGGTAAAAATCCCAAAATGTCCCATACTGGTTTGTTGACAAAATTGACAAAACTAAAAATTTTAAAATCCCACCCAATCCCAAATTCCAAATATAATAAAATTCGTCCAAATCCCAATCCCAAATCCCGATATGCCAGCAAGTATAATTGTAGCACGAATCAAATAATATACGACAAGGTGAAACCGTGTTGTGAATTAGTAAAATCCGCTACGCAGATCACATGAGTAAAATCCGCTTTTTCCTAATAATATTATTTGTGGTTACACGGCATATAATATTTATATGACGGGTTAATTAAAATCATCACATTTGCGCTTTAATAATTTATTCTAAAGAAACTATTCTAAAAAAAAAAATTTAAAACACAAGATGCGTGAGGATTTAAAAACTTTATAATTAGTAATTCGTACCAGTTGAACATGCAAGCGATTTTAAAGGAATTAAGAAATTACTATCTTCGGTAGCAAACAGGCATACTTGATTATTTATCATATGATTGCGACTATAATGGGATTAAGTAATGAAAGATAACGGCATTACGGCAAGCCAAAAGCAATTGTATAATTGGTTGTTTCATCTTTAGGTCGTATTACTTCAATTCTACTCTTAGCCTATTTCTTCGTTACACTCGGCCATTTATGCTTCGTTACACTCGGCCATTTATACAAATAAGTTTTATATAGTACCGGCTATTGTAGCAAAGAATTAATGTTTACCATGAATTTTTACAATTTTAATACGTCGAAAATGTTAAAAATAATGATCATATGTTTAATTGTAAGCCTGATTCTAATAATGACTTTCATAGTTAGTCAAGTTAATGATGTATATGGCATAGAAACACATCTAGATAACATAAAATTACTATCATCGCCTTTCTCTTCTGAGTACTTGCCTTCTTCCTGTGAAAGTCTTCCGCCTCATATAAAAACCAATACTTCATCCCGTAAATTTTATATAACAGGTTCGAAGTCTCGCTAATTAAAAATTTTTCATTGGATTTCCATGACATTTGGAAACGTAGATGTTGTATCTTGGAAGGATATTTCTCAAGAACTCTGTCCTTATCCACCAGAACTTAATATTTTCTTTCAACGAATATTTGAAAAATTTGCACGTCAAAGTGTTCCTGATTTAACAGAATGGCCTAAAGGTTATGCACCTTGTTGGTTTTGGCATCAAGATGAATGGCATGGTACATGTGCAGATGGGACGAAGTACCATATAAATACTAATTACACGCAATGGAGAGATGTTGATATAATATATATAGACTATCCGTTCTTTTTAAAAATAGATGAACCACCTTATTATGATATAAAACAAATTCCTCAGCACAAAGCCGGACAAGTCTGGTGGTTTCGTTTCGCAGATGAAGGATTAGGATATTACTGGTTTGTTGGTCTCGAAAGTTTCCTTAATCTATTCGATATTACCTTGGGTTCACCTGGAGATCTCTTTGACATATTTCAACCCGCGTATGGGATACATAAAGACAATATTCCTAAATTTTATGAAACTCATGTACCATTTAATGAAAAAAGAGAAGATGTATTCATTTCCTGGATGGCTGGTAATTGTAATCCGATTAATAATCGAACTGATTATGTCTATGAATTAATGCAACACATTACCATTCACTCATATGGAAATTGTCACCATAACCAAGAAATTCCTGACAATATTCGTGAAAAGTATGGCATTAAGGAAGGAGAAAGTGCATATTATTCAACTCATATGTATGAAGTAAAAATAGATACAATATCTCAATATAAATTTCATATTACTTTTGAAAATTCAAATTGTAAAGGCTATGTCACGGAAAAAGTTTATGATTCTTTTCTAGGAGATTCTATTCCCATATATATGGGAGCACCTGATATTGATAATTATGTTCCTCCACATTCAATTATAAAAGTTAGCGATTTTAAAAATGTTGAAGACCTCGCTAAGCATATCTATATGGTAGCTAATAATCAAACATTATATGAAAGTTATTTTGAGTGGAAAAAGGATATGACTCATGAGAATTTCTGTAAGCTTTGTTACCAGTCTGAAGAACCAACAATTTGTAGGTTCTTGGATAGGGCTGTATGGGTCTAAGCAGCATTGTCAATGAAACATCTATGTACAAAAGTATAAAAATTTATCACGATATCTAATTTAACGCATTAAGTAAAAAATGTTTAACGCCGAATTTTCTATATAACTATATAATTATATATTATTTAATTAAACTAGAGCACACTATGAATATACATAACATGATTATAGGCAAGTCAATATATATATAATTGGAAGACACATATCCGGGCATGAAGAAGCATACTTTTATTCCAAGGCATACATCCTGGAAATTCCTAAAATGTTTTTTTTCTCACAAAAAATATTAATTAAATTGAATTAGAGGTTGGAACAGTTTTAATATTTCAGAATTTACTAAAATTAATTGGATAAATTTCCAAAATATCACAAAATTCACGTGATAACTCGAATTATTAAACCCGGTTTCACCTCTAGTCAACAGGAGAAACAGTCGATGTTACAAGACTGATCCTTCACCCGGTGTGCAACATATAAAAAATTATTTTACAATACAAGATCATTCCGCTAGTACATGTTATGATTATAATCCAACACCATTTTATTATAATAAAGATGGTGTTGGATTATAATCATAACATGTACTAGCGGAATGATCTTGTATTGTAAAATAATTTTTTATATGTTGCACACCGGGTGAAGGATCAGTCGTGTAACATCAACAGCTTCTCCTGTTCCTCTAGTCTGAATACATTGATGTATTAGTTTGCTAAAAATAACATTATTCTAGATATTAGCCATACGATAAGTAGATATAAAAGTGTTGCTTGTAGATTTTAATAAGTTATTAGGAATTACTTCGAATGATAAGTTATGCTCAGAGAAGAAATTTATTAATCATTTACATATTAGTTTATTAAAAAATTAAATAACTGATATTATTCGTCAGATTACCACGAACCTAGCATGACCACCAAGATCAGTTACGTACTAGGGTGATAAACGGACTAAGTAATCAAACCTATGTCAGATATGTTAATCATTTTACTATGATCAGGATTTTTATCACAGAAAATTAAATA